TCAGAATGCCTGCAAACAATGTTTTAGAAAAAACTTACTTTTGAGTTATAACTTTTAAAATTAATAAAAATATATGTAGAATTTTATATGGAGTAATAGACTTTGAGAAACCTATTCTATGATACCCATATGCTTTAGTTATTCTCATTCGGATAATGGGGAAGGTAACCTACTTGACAGATTGGTACTAAATACACAATATGTATATCAAACTTCTTATTTGTTGAGCATGTTACGCTTATGTGACAGAACATAAAAATGTTTAAATTTCAGAAGGCCTGCCATACAAAGTTTTATAAAAAACATAGTTTTTGAGTTATAACTTTAAAATGAATATGAAAAGATATGTAGATTTTGTATTGCTTTAGTTATTCTTATTTGGGAAGTGGGGAAGGTAACCTAATTGACAGATTTGGTACTTAATACACAACTGCATATCAAACTTCTTATTTGTCGAGCATGTTACGTCTATGTTGACAAAAAATACAAATTTTTAAATTTCAGAAGACCTGTCATACATACAAAGTTTTTAAAAAAAATGAGTTTTGAGTTATAACTTATAAAATTAATATGAAAATATATGTAGATTTTTGCATGAAGTTAGTAAACTTCGAAAAACCTTTACTATGTTGCCCATATTGCTTTAGTTATTCTCATTGGAAAATGGGGAAGGTGACCTACTTGACAGATTTGGTACTAAATACACAATATGCATATCAAACTTATTATTATATTGAGCGTATTACGTCTATGTTGACAAAACATAAAAATTTTTAAATTTCAGAAGGCCTACCATACAGAGTTTTAGAAAAAACTTAGTTTTTGAGTTATAACTTTTAAATTTAATAAGAAATGATATGTAGATTTTTGTATGAAGTTAGTAGAATTCGAAAAACCTTTTCTATGATACCCATATTGCTTTAGTTATTCCCATTTCAAAAATGGGGAAGGTAACCTACTTGCAAGATTTAGTACTAAATACACAATATGCATATCAAACTATTATTTTATTGAGTGTATTACGTCTATGTTGACAGAATGTAAAAACTTTTATATTTTAGAAGGCCTGCCATACAAAATTTTATAAAAACTTAGTTTTTGAGTTATAACTTTTAAAATTAATAAGAAAAATATGTGGGATTTTTATATGAAGTTAATAGACTTCGAAAAATCTTTACTATGATACCCATATTGCTATAGTTAATTTCATTATGAAAATGGGGAAGGTAACCTAACTGTCAGATTTGGTTTTAAATACACAATATGTATGTCAAACTTATTATTTTGGTAAGTATGTTGATACAACAAAAAAATTTAAATTTTAGAAGGTCTCCCATACTGATTTTTTTTAAACACTTTCACACAGATTTTTTATATTTAAAACACTTTTAAATTTGTTGCACTGTTAAATAAAGCATTAGAATTGTTTCTAACTAATTTATTTATCCATTAGCACTTATTCCAATCACGTATTTAGAAACACATTTGTATTATTTGATTAATTTTTAATTGCAAACTAAAACAAATTTCATGTAAATGTCTTAAAAATTTTATAAACAAACACTTAGTTAGACACTTTTACGTTACAAAATTTTTTATAAATAAGGCATTTACATCCTTTATCTCCTCTTACCAATTTGAACATTTTGTTAAAATTATTTTTTTAAATAACGTTTTTAAAAGAAAAGAAGTAGTTTAATGTTTTAAAGCTTAAAGCAACTTATGGTTTGATTCATTGTGACAACAGCATGCTATATTTATAGGTCTTTTTTAATGTTAAGAAAAATCAAAAACAAATCAAACAATAAAGAAAAAATACAACTAAAATACAGAGAAAAAAAAAAACAGCAAAAGCAATACAAATACACAATTCTTAAATGAGACTTTGTAACAAATATCTATGAATTTACCAGCAACGATATGTATGTACATTTCACACAAAGATTTTTCCATGCTATAGCTTTGCAAAAATCCCCCAGTTAACAGAGGTGGCTTAAAACGAGTAACATACAATACTTTTCAATTTTTTTTGTATTTGCTTTTGATTTCTTTGATTTTGCTTAAGAATTTTATTTTTGGTTTTTCGGTTTTCATTATTTCTTTCTTACCGGAAACCTTTTAAAATTAGCGGTTTTTAAAGCCGGCTTAAGTTGCATGCAGACAGAAAAAATAAAATCATGCAGTTGTTTAATTTTATGTTTTTAGCTTAAGACAACTGCGGTGTGTTCCTTTTTGGGGTTTTGTACAAAAAGCAAAAAAAAAAATACTAAACAAATCTTTGTGTTTTATGCTTTAGTAATTGATTTAATTATTTATTAACAATCAACTTATTTTAATTGTCAATTTTATGATTTGTTTGTTTTCATGTTTTTTTTACAACAAATTAAGTTAATTAATTAAATTTTTTTGTTGCTACATTTACAATTAATTAAACTTTAGTCTTCACTGTTGTTATACATTACAATGGGAAGTTTCTCAATAATTTCCCAAATTGGGAAGAGAAAATATCTCTCAAATGGACAAATTTTCTACAGGAGAGTGTCTTCCCAATGGGAACAAAGTTTCTCCCAAATTTTCTATATAAAAGTTTCTTCCATGTGGGTCAAATTGTCTATAGAAAAGTTCTCTCAAATGAGACAAATTTCTATAGAAAAGTTTTTCCCAATGGGACAAATTTTCTATCTCTAAAATGGGACAAATTTCTATAGAAAAGTTTCTCCCAAATTGGACAAATCTTCTATAGAAAGTTTCTCCCAAATTGGACAAATCTTCTATAGAAAAGTTTTTCTCCCAATCGGACAAATCTTCTATAGAAAAGTTTTCCAGGGAGAAACTTTTCTATAGAAGATTTGTGATTGAGAGAAATTTTCTATAGAAGAATGGGAGAACTTTTCTATAGAAGATTTGTCCAATTTGGGAGAAACTTTTCTATAGAAAATTTGTCCCATTTTAGAGAGAATAGAAATTTGTTCCCATTTGGGAAAACTTTTCTATAGAAAATTGTCTCATTTGAGAGAAACTTTTCTATAGACAATTTGACCCACATGAAGAGAAACTTTTATATAGAAAATTTGGGAGAAACTTTGTTCCCATTGGGAAGACATCTCCTGTAGAAAATTTGTCCATTTGAGAGATATTTTTCTCTTCCCAATTTGGGAAATTATTGAGAAACTTCCCATTGTAATGTATAACAACAGTGAAGACTAAAGTTTAATTAATTTGTAAATGTAGCAACAAAAAAATTTAATTAATTAAACTTAATTTGTTTGTAAAAAAAACATGAAAACAAAACAAATCATAAAATTGACAATTAAAATAAGTTGATTGTTAATAAAATAATTAAATCAATTACTAAAGCATAAAACACAAAGATTTGTTTAGTATTTTTTTTTTTGCTTTTTGTACAAACCCCAAAAAGGAACACACCGCAGTTGTCTTAAGCTAAAAACATAAAATTAAAACAACTGCATGATTTTATTTTTTCTGTCTGCATGCAACTTAAGCCGGCTTTAAAAACCGCTAATTTTTAAAAGGTTTCCGGTTAAGAAAGAAATAATGAAAACACGAAAAACCAAAAATAAAATTCTTAAGCAAAATCAAAGAAATCAAAAGCAAATACAAAAAAAATTGAAAGTATTGTATGTTACTCGTTTTAAGCCACCCTCTGTTAACTGGGGGATTTTTGCAAAGCTATAGCATGGAAAAATCTTTGTGTGAAATGTACATATATCGTTGCTGGTAAATTCATAGATATTTGTTACAAAGTCTCATTTAAGAATTGTGTATTTGTATTGCTTTGCTGTTTTTTTTTTTTCTCTGTATTTTGTTTGTATTTTTTCTTTATTGTTTGATTTTGTTTTTGATTTTCTTAACATTAAAAAAGACCTATAAATATAGCATGCTGTTGTCACAATGAATCAAACCATAGTTGCTTTAAGCTTTAAAACATTAACTACTTCTTTTCTTTTAAAAACGTTATTTTAAAAAAAATAATTTTAACAAAATGCAAATTGGTAAGAGGAGATAAAGGATGTAAATGCCTTATTTATAAAAAAATTTTGTAACGTAAAGTGTCTAACTAAGTGTTTGTTATAAAATTTTTAAGACATTTACATGAAATTTGTTTTAGTTTGCAATTAAAAATTAATCAAATAATACAAATGTGTTTCTAAATACGTGATTGGAATAAGTGCTAATGGATAAATAAATTAGTTAGAAACAATTCTAATGCTTTATTAACAGTGCAACAAATTTAAAAGTGTTTTTAATATAAAAAATCTGTGTGAAAGTGTTTAAAAAAAAATCAGTATGGGAGACCTTCTAAAATTTAAATTTTTTTTGTTGTATCAACATACTTACCAAAATAATAAGTTTGACATACTATTGTGTATTTAAAACCAAATCTGACAGTTAGGTTACCTTCCCCATTTTCATATGAAATTAACTATAGCAATATGGGTATCATAGTAAAGATTTTCGAAGTCTATTAACTTCATAAAAATCCACACATATTTCTTATTAATTTTAAAAGTTATAACTCAAAAACTAAGTTTTTATAAAATTTTGTATGGCAGGCCTTCTAAAATATAAAAGTTTTTACATTCTGTCAACATAGACGTAATACACTCAATAAAATAATAAGTTTGATATGCATATTGTGTATTTAGTACTAAATCTTGCAAGTAGGTTACCTTCCCCATTTTTGAAATGGGAAAACTAAAGCAATATGGGTATCATAGAAAAGGTTTTTCGAATTCTACTAACTTCATACAAAAATCTACATATCATTTCTTATTAAATTTAAAAGTTATAACTCAAAAACTAAGTTTTTTCTAAAACTCTGTATGGTAGGCCTTCTGAAATTTAAAAATTTTTATGTTTTGTCAACATAGACGTAATACGCTCAATATAATAATAAGTTTGATAGCATATTGTGTATTTAGTACCATCTGTCAAGTAGGTCACCTTCCCCATTTCCAAATGAGAATAACTAAAGCAATATGGGCAACATAGTAAAGGTTTTTCGAAGTTTACTAACTTCATGCAAAAATATACATATATTTCATATTAATTTTATAAGTTATAACTCAAAACTCATTTTTTTTTAAAAACTTTGTATGTATGACAGGTCTTCTGAAATTTAAAAAATTTGTATTTTTTGTCAACATAGACGTAACATGCTCGACAAAATAAGAAGTTTGATATGCATGTTGTGATTAAGTACCAAATCTGTCAATTAGGTTACCTTCCCCACTTCCCAAATAAGAATAACTAAAAGCAATACAAAAATCTACATATCTTTCATATTCATTTTAAAAGTTATAACTCAAAAACTATGTTTTTTATAAAACTTTGTATGGCAGGCCTTCTGAAATTTAAACATTTTTATGTTCTGTCAACATAAGCGTAACATGCTCAACAAAATAAGAAGTTTGATATACATATTGTGTATTTAGTACCAAATCTGTCAAGTAGGTTACCTTCCCCATTATCCGAATGAGAATAACTAAAGCAATATGGGATCATAGAATAGGTTTTCAAAGTCTATTAACTCCATATAAAATTCTACATATATTTTTATTAATTTTAAAAGTTATAACTCAAAAGTAAGTTTTTTCTAAAACATTGTTTGCAGGCATTCTGAAATTTAAAAATGTTATATTCTGTCAACATAGACGTATAACTCAACAAAATAATAAGTTTGATATGCATTGTGTATTAAATACCAAATATGTCAATTAGGTTACCTTCCCCATTTTCATAATGAGAATATCTAAAGCAATATGGGTATCATATAAACGGGTTTTCAAAGTCTATTAACTGAATATAAAATTTAAATATAATTTCTTATAATTTTAAAGTTATAACTCAAAAACTAAGTTTTTTTCTAAAACTTTGTATGGCAGGCCTTCTGAAATTTACAAATTTTTGTGTTCTGTCAACATAGACATAATATACACTCAACCAAACAATAAGTTTGATATGCATATTGTGTATTTAATTTCAAACATGACAGTTAGGTTACCTTCACCACATTCATAAAGAAATAATTAAAGCAATATGGATATCATAGAAATGGGTTTTTAAAGTCATTAACAATACATAAAAATCTAAATTACCTTTCTTACAAATTTTAAAAGATATAACTCAAACAAAGTTTTTTTCTGAAGTTTTATAAAAATTAAAAAAAAATATATATTATAATCTCCACTGAAATTCTAGATTGCTGTATTCTCCGCTATCTTCGCTGTTGCCTCTGCTGGCTACTTGGGTTGGTTATGGTCTATCGGCTCCTGCCTATCATACTTCTGTAGTAGCCGCCCTGTTGTGCATGCTGCTCCTGTTATTAAGACCTATGCTGCACCTGCTGTAGTGCATGCTCCTCTAGTTAAGGCCTATGCTCCCGTTGCCACCTCTTATGCCAACACCTATAAAATCTCTCAAAGAGCCTACCCAGTAGTTCATGCTGCTCCTGCTGTAGTAGCCGCTCCTGTTATTAAGTCTTATGCTGCTCCAGTTTATGCTGCTCCTGCTTATGGTTTGGGTCATGGTTTGTCTTATGGTCATGCCGGTTATGGTCACTCCATCTATCATTAAATATTCGAATACTTACATTGATTCCTTGTTTGAAATTTCATCATATTTTTAATTGTGTTCACCTGCCAACGATTAAATTATGTTTATGACTTTCGCTAACAGTGCTCTTTTGAAACTTCATCATTTTTACTATAATTTAATTTAAAACTCATTTCGTCTTTGAAATCTTGTCATTTAAAACATTATAAATTCATTTTTAAGAGAGTATATTTGAGATTTACTTTATGAAAAATCAAACACTAGAGAACAAAGTGAGAGAATGAGAGAGTGTTATGTGTACCTGTATATTTATTGCATATTTCATTAATGGTTTTCTTTGAGATTTTTTATAATATTTTTGAGTTTTTTCTAGCCGAATTATTATTTTTAACAAAAATGAAAGTCGTTTGTTTCCACCTAAGTACTACTCATAATCATTATAATGTAAATATTTAAAGACAAAAAAAATTAGCAAATATTAAGCTAGTTTTTTTGAAAATCTTGTAAATAAAAAAATATACGTAAAAAGCTATTATTTCCTTTTATTGATAGAAACCAATTTAAATTATCACTGGATGACATTTTACTGAAAAATCAGAAATTAAAATTTTAATTTTTCCTCAATTGGAGAATTGTTAAAGGATATATGTTCCTCGACTTTAGGAGTGTAGTTTTCGTTCAAGTTCAGTTCTAGTTCAGTTCTAAATCAGTTCTAGTTCAGTTCTAGTTCAATTCTAGTTCAATTCTAGTTCAGTTCTAGTCAGTTCTAGTTCAGTTCTAGTTCAGTTCTAGTTCAGTTCTAGTTCAGTTCTAGTTCAGTTCTAGTTCAGTTCTAGTTCAGTTCTAGTTCAGTTCTAGTTCAGTTCTAGTTCAGTTCTAGTTCAGTTCTAGTTCAGTTCTAGTTCAGTTCTAGTTCAGTTCTAGTTCAGTTCTAGTTCAGTTCTAGTTCAGTTCTAGTTCAGTTCTAGTTCAGTTCTAGTTCAGTTCTAGTTCAGTTCTAGTTCAGTTCAGTTCTGTTCAGTTCTAGTTCAGTTCAGTTTCAGTTCTAGTTCAGTTCTAGTTCAGTTCTAGTTCAGTTCTAGTTCAGTTCTAGTTCAGTTCTAGTTCAGTTCTAGTTCAGTTCTAGTTCAGTTCAGTTCAGTTCTAGTTCAGTTCTAGTTCAGTTCTAGTTCAGTTCTAGTTCAGTTCTAGTTCAGTTCTAGTTCAGTTCTAGTTCAGTTCTAGTTCAGTTCTAGTTCAGTTCTAGTTCAGTTCTAGTTCAGTTCTAGTTCAGTTCTAGTTCAGTTCTAGTTCAGTTCTAGTTCAGTTCTAGTTCAGTTCTAGTTCAGTTCTAGTTCAGTTCTAGTTCAGTTCTAGTTCAGTTCTAGTTCTGTTCTAGTTCAGTTCTAGTTCAGTTCTAGTTCAGTTCTAGCTCAGTTCTAGTTCAGTTCTAGTTCAGTTCTAGTTCAGTTCTAGTTCAGTTCTAGTTCAGTTCTAGTTCAGTTCTAGTTCAGTTCTAGTTCAGTTCTAGTTCAGTTCTAGTTCAGTTCTAGTTCAATTCTAGTTCAGTTCTAGTTCAGTTCTAGTTCAGTTCTAGTTCTAGTTCAGTTCCAGTTCAGTTCTAGTTCAGTTCTAGTTCAGTTCTAGTTCAGTTCTAGTTCAGTTCTAGTTCAGTTCTAGTTCAGTTCTAGTTCAGTCTAGTTCAGTTCTAGTTCAGTTCTAGTTCAGTTCTAGTTCAGTTCTAGTTCAGTTCTAGTTTCTAGTTCAGTTCTAGTTCAGTTCTAGTTCAGTTCTAGTTCAGTTCTAGTTCAGTTCTAGTTCAGTTCTAGTTCAGTTCTAGTTCAGTTCTAGTTCAGTTCTAGTTCAGTTCTAGTTCAGTTCTAGTTCAGTTCTAGTTCAGTTCTAGTTCAGTTCTAGTTCAATTCTAGTTCAGTTCTAGTTCAGTTCTAGTTCAGTTCTAGTTCTAGTTCAGTTCTAGTTCAGTTCTAGTTCAGTTCTAGTTCAGTTCTAGTTCAGTTCTAGTTCAGTTCAGTTCTAGTTCAGTTCTAGTTCAGTTCTAGTTCAGTTCTAGTTCAGTTCTAGTTCAGTTCTAGTTCAGTTCTAGTTCAGTTCTAGTTCAGTTCTAGTTCAGTTCTAGTTCAGTTCTAGTTCAGTTCTAGTTCAGTTCTAGTTCAGTTCTAGTTCAGTACTAGTTCAGTTCTAGCTCAGTTCTAGTTTAGTTCTAGTTCAGTTCTAGTTCAGTTCTAGTTCAGTTCTAGTTCAGTTCTAGTTCAGTTCTAGTTCAGTTCTCGTTTAGTTCTAGTTCAGTTCTAGTTCAGTTCTAGTTCAGTTCTAGTTCAGTTCTAGTTCAGTTCTAGTTCAGTTCTAGTTCAGTTCTAGTTCAGTTCTAGTTCAGTTCTAGTTCAGTTCTAGTTCAGTTCTAGTTCAGTTCTAGTTCAGTTCTAGTTCAGTTCTAGTTCAGTTCTAGTTCAGTTCTAGTTCAATTCTAGTTCAGTTCTAGTTCAGTTCTAGTTCTAGTTCTAGTTCTAGTTCAGTTCTAGTTCAGTTCTAGTTCAGTTCTAGTTCAGTTCGAGTTCAGTTCTAGTTCAGTTCTAGTCAGTTCTAGTTCAGTTCTAGTTCAGTTCTAGTTCAGTTCTAGTTCAGTTCTAGTTCAGTTATAGTTCAGTTCTAGTTCAGTTCTAGTTCAGTTCTAGTTCAGTTCTAGTTCAGTTCTAGTTCATTTCTAGTTCAGTTCTAGTTCAGTTCTAGTTTAGTTCTAGTTCATTTCTAGATTTTAGTATGAAATTTTATTTTTATATATGGGAAGAAAACACATTTTCACTGTTTTATCCATTGAAATGTTGTTTAAGGTTTTCGCATCATAATGTTATTTAAAAAACTGCAATCAATTTCAGATTGTTCATATAAAAATTAATTTTTATAGAAAATATGATTGATCACTGATTTGCTCGATTTTATCAAGTAGAGTGTTATTTAAGATTCTATGTATTATGACAACTTAATAAAACTATTTTATGGTTCACTTATTTTTCACTAATTTGAATGATGACCTCTATAGTGAGTATGTTTAACAATTTTTACAGGGTTCTTCAACAAAGTAGTTTTTTATTTTAATAATACTAAATTCACACATCATTATTTTAATTTTAGCTGTTTTTTGGCTACAATTGAGATAATCATTGAAATGATTATGATTTAATTTAAAGCGGCAATTAAAGCACTATTTAATTTTTATTTTACACATTATTTGCTACAACTCGACAACATATGTAAGTAAAGTTGTTAAAGCCATTAAATGAGAAAAAACAGTAGTCGAGGCCTTTTAACAAGTGGGTATTTTTTTCTTAAGACTCATAGACAATCTACCGCTAACCAACTAACATTAATTCAAACATAAATTTTAAAACGTTTTGTCTCAGTCAGTGGACGTGCAATAAAACATGAACTTCATGTTGAAAAGATAAAAATAATCTAAATTAAATTAATCATGGAAAGTACTGCTTATAGTTTTAATAAACAAAAAAAGTAACATGATAATAGTTAAACAAAAAGTCACTAGTAATAAGCCGCTTGAGCTTTAGCAAAAAATTTGAAATAAAAATATTAAAAAAGAGACAAATCATGCATGAGTTTCAAAGTGAATTTTTAATTCACATTTATAATTTTTTCTGTAAAAAATTGATTATGTGAAATTGTAATAGTTTGTTTAATCGATATAGAATTTGTTTATCACTATAGTAAATGTTACAATATTTTCGTAATTTCAAAATGATAATAAAACTATTTATACTACTTTAGAACTAACCTCTTACCAAACTAATCGAGCTAATTTAATTCATCAACTGTAGTGTGCCTGCTAAAACAATGGCCGCTGTCAAAAACAAAAGACTTAGGCAACAAACATGGATCTCTTTAATACGACCAATAATTGCAGTTTGGTGACACATGTTTTCAATTCGTGGCAAGTTATTAAATAAATAACGTTTATGTTATTAGTATTAATAATTTTTTTTTTTGTCGCTTTACAAGAATAATATTTTTATTGTAGAAAAATCATTACGTTATATTACTCAATTTACTTGTTTTAAAAATTCACAATTTAGCAATATTATGTAAAATTTATTTCAATTTAATATTCCCCCCAAAAAAAAAACAAAAATTAAGGAAATATTTCAAATATTTATTTGTTAAATAAAGACTTGCATTTATTTACGAGTGTTTTAACTAAAAATAAACCAACATATCTGACACTTTGTTATTAGATATTCTTAGCTTATTGTTTTTTTTTATGTCAATTTTGTTGAATTTTTTTTCTTTTAGTATAATTTAATTTAATGCACATTTAATTAAGTTATTTTTTAAACAATTGTTTTCATTTGTTGTAATATTTTGCGTACAAAAAATTAACTAACCTCTATTAATTCATAAAAAATATTATTCAACTACTTGTAATTATAATTGAAAATATGTGTAACTAGGTAAAAGGGCTTAACCGCATTTTTCAAAAACAAGAAAAAATAGAATTTTCTTAATATAAAGAGAGCTTTCCATAAATTGTCTTTTAGTTAAGATCTGGTTTCAGTTTTAGTTCAGTTTGTAGATCAGTTCTAGTTTAATTCTAGTTCAAGTTCGGTTCTAGTTTCAGTTCTATTCAGTTTTAGTTCTAGTCATTCAGTTCTAGTTCAGTTCTAGTTCAGTTCTTAGTTTCAGTTCTAGTTCAGTTCTAGTTCAGTTCTAGTTCAGTTCTAGTTCAGTTCTAGTTCTAGTTCAGTTCTAGTTCAGTTCTAGTTCAGTTTTCTAGTTCAGTTCTAGTTCAGTTTCTTAGTTCAGTTCTAGTTCAGTTTCTAGTTCAGTTCTAGTTCAGTTCTAGTTCAGTTCTAGTTCAGTTCTAGTTCAGTTCTAGTTCAGTTCTAGTTCAAGTTCTAGTCTCGAGTTCAGTTAGTTCAGTTCTAGTTCAGTTCTAGTCAGTTCTAGTTCAGTTCTAGTTCAGTTTAGTTCAGTTCTAGTTCAGTTCTAGTCAGTTCTAGTTCAGTTCTATAGTTCAGTTCTAGTTCAGTTCTAGTTCAGTTCTAGTTCAGTTCTAGTTCAGTTCTAGTTCAGTTCTGTTAGTTCTAGTTAGTCTAGTTCAGTTCTAGTTCAGTTCTAGTTCAGTTCTAGTTCAGTTCTAGTTCAGTTCTAGTTCAGTTCTAGTTCAGTTCTAGTTCAGTTCTAGTTCAGTTCTAGTTCAGTTCTAGTTCTTAGTTCAGT